CCACTAGGGATGTCTAATCTTTCTCCAGTGCTAAGAACTGCTCTCCATATACCCTTTGCCAAGCATTAATGGCCTTGGGCAGAGTAAATTATTCAGTATTGGGGTCAATTGGTTAGAAGTTTCTCTGGTTTTGCAATATGGCTAAACCCCTACCCTGCACTCTGCCAATAAGAGGTAACAAATGACTTCATGGGCATTTGGTAGACTTGAGATTCTTTATGGGGGAAAAGGGCTGAGATCTGGTGTATGGTTTCACAGATGCAGGGGAGAGATCAGGATCGACCTCAAGTGCCCCTACACACTCCAGACTCCCCGCTTCTCATCCCAAGCTCTGAATCCACCAGGCCCTGATCAGGGAGGTCTATGCTGAGGGACGCAGGGCTCAGGTCCAAGAGACACAGGTCCCGGCAGAGCCCTGGGCGGGGCAGAGGTGCTTGAGGAAGGAGTAGCCTGGAGCCATGGCCAGGTTTAGGGCAAGGGTCAAATGCCTTCGGGCACCCAGACACTTGAGCTTTTGAGACAGAGAAGAGCTGGCAGCTGAAGCACTCAGAGCAGGGGGTGTTGGTCAATGGCCCAATTCATTCTCAACAATCCCCATTGTCTGAGCTAGCACAGAGATGGGCATTATCTCCCAAAGCCACTAGGAAGAAAAGCCCCAAGGCATGGTCGGGAATCAGAGCCCAAGAATACAGAAGCCACAATTGAGATATCTGGCTTAAAATTTGGATGACATATTTGAGATTGAGGATGTCTCAAAAAAGAACCCATTACAATGTAGTTCCCATCCTTGGAGACCAACAGAACGTCTAATTGCTGGCTGTTCATTTATTTATTCTGTTTTCTCTCTCTACAAAGAATATAGGAGTTTATAGTTAAAGATGTATAGTCTACAAAGTTGTTAATATAGAAATTAAAGAAATCAAAGCCCTGGTTCCAACTAACAGTTACTAGAATAGAGTAATATGATAGATTTAGAGCTTCCTAGCAGCCAAGATAAGAAGGGAACCACAATAAGGAAATACTTCCTTCTCCCATCACCTTAACTCTGCAGGAAGCCTGTTGAACTGATCACACCTTAACCATCCCCAAGGGTCCGGTCTAGGATCAGGCCAAGGGGAAAATAGATCCTAGTAATCCCTTCAGGAACTGAATGAACCTGACTTTTTCCCCTTGCATATTAGGGGAATTGATGGATTGCTCTTTAGACAAAACCACAAGTACTAAGAAAGAAGTCTAACTTCCCAACTGAAGGAGCACATTTAGTCTGGGTACCTCATGGAAACATGGTCAGAAGAGAATGGCCAGGATGGGAGAGATCTAGAATTCAAAATAAAATAATAACAATAATAATAATAACCATCAGCAGCTGTATTTTGAAGCACCTACACTTCTAAGCATTGTTGAGAGTGTCCCCAGATCAGAAAGATTTTGTCAAGAAAAGAAATATTGGCTAGAAGAGGGGAGAAGGGCAAAGCAAAGGCTATCCTTCCCCAGCCTGGAAGACTCAAAGTGGGGATGCCTGAGAGCAAAGACAAAGAATCAGCCCAGCTCCACTCGCTCATCCTCCCAGTCCCAAGGCTCACTGCTCTTTGGCAGCAGGGAGAATCCAGGGTGCAAGTGAGATCCTGGAGACAATGACAGGTGTTGAGGTCTGCCCCAGATCCTAGCCTTACCTTATTGCCTTGTGAGATTAGACTTTTCACCCCTACAAGGGCAAATGATGCTTCAAAGTCCCAGACCTTTAGGCTCAAGAATGCTCTCCAGGCCCGGTGGTGGCACACGCCTAATAATCCCAGAGGGTCAGGAGGCTGAGGCAGGAGAATCTTGAGTTCAGAGCCAGCCTCAGCAAAAGCGAGGCACTAAGCAACTCAGTGAGACCCTGTCTCTAAATAAAATACAAAATAAGGCTGGGGATGTGGTTCAATGGTTGAGTGCCCCTGTGTTCAATCCCTAGTACCAAAAAGAGAAGAATGCTCTCCAGCTGAGCTTCATAGGCACCCTCAGTTCAGATTAAACAAGATACCCCAAAAGCATCATATGACTACCTGCCCTGACCACCCCCACCCCCAGCCAAAGCTGCCTTACTTAAGGTATTCCCTGTTGAGACAGTTATTTGCACCCATTGTCATAGGTACATATAAGCAGGAAGGGTTAGGGGCACTGGGAACTAAAGGATGAGAATAAGAGCAAACTAGGGGTCTGTGTTTCTGCATGAGCATTTGACCATGTGGGTACATGTTGTATACATGTCATTTCCATGGGAGTACACAGTTAATGTATGTGTCTTTGCATGTGGCGTGTTTGCACCAAGAGGAAGTGTGTGCAAGACAGACATGTGGACAGCAATATGTGTGCACCTGAGCAGCTGCAAGCACGGTGTGGGTGCCTTGTGAGTGTACACTATGTGAGTGGACATCCCTCTGTCCTCCTGCCTCTTTGGTGTGAAAGTGAGGTCCCCCAAGTTGCCTCCCTATCCCTGGAGCATTCAAGCAGGGTCAGAGGCCCATTCACTCTGGTGTTAGCTGAGAGCTCTGAGCTCTTATTCTGCTCAAAGTCCTGAGAAACCAAAGCTGCTTGACACCTTGACACTGACAAGCCACCCCAGCTTGGGGCCAAGTCAAGTCACTCTAGAAATTTGAGTTCATATGTTACTCCTTATGCCCCAGCTTCTGGGGTCACAGGTTCAAACTCACACATCCATCATCCACATATGGACGGGCTCAAACCACTCAAGCGCACAAATGCACAGACACCATCCACCCAGGATGGCAGGTGCCACATAGACACACAGCCACCTGTGGACACACTCCAGGCGCACCACACACACTGACACACTCATGCCCACACTCACACTCTAGGGCACATGCTAGAAAATTCTTCATGCTCACATCCCAGGGCAGACACACTCCCTCCCACTGACACCCACCTACTATCCAAACAGTCACAAACCTTCTCAGTCCCCAACTGGGTGGCAGATCCAACCTCAGCCCCTGGATTCAGGCAGTCAGGAGGTCACCTTGTGTGCTTACTTACTTCTTCTGAGCTTGCGAGGGAGCAAGCGAGTGCGTGCGAGTGGCCAGTGGTGACAGGATGCAGCTGGAGTTCCAGAGGCCAGGCAGGCGCAAAGTGGCCGCTGGGGCCGGCCCAGCACAGGGGCCGCCCGCTGTCCCCCACCCCCCGCCCCCACCCGCTCTCCCCCGCCCACCGGCTCCGAGGCGGCTGCAGAATCCCAAGGTCGTTCCACAGCAGCGCTCCCTGCCAAGCCCCTGTCCCACGTCAGGCACCGAATCTCAGCTGGGCTGCGTGGGCTATTTCAGTGCCCCTGGCAGTGGAAACATCATGCTGTCATCTGTGGGAGCACTGGAATGGGGACGCGGTCAGGCCTAATTAGAGACCTGGCTCACCCATGGGCCAGGCGGGAGTCACGCAGGCAATCACCCCCAGCCGCGGAGCCATCAGGGCGGGACGCCCAGATGTGCCCTGCATGCCAACATCTGGAGAGGGGAAGGGAATGTGCTTCGATCATTTCTTTTGGAATTGAAGCAAAACAAGGAGGGATTTGGGTGCAGTTCACATGCCCTGTGGAGGGAGCCGCCTCACCCAGCAGCCTCCAGATGCCTGGAATGTGGCTCGGTTTATTCAATGCAGGTGCTTCCCTTTGGACCCTAAGTCACTCACATAAGTCACCCTTCACATCACAAGATCTGCCAAAAATGGCAGGGGCTGATGCAAAGACTCCTTCAACCTTGGGTGAATCAGACTCTCCCCACCGCAATCTGGACTGTGTCAAATGGCTAAGTCTAGAGAAGTCTGATTCCTACCCCAAAACTCAGGAATGTTGCATTCTTAAACAGCAAGGAAGCTTGGAGGTCATTTCATCCAACTCCCTCCTTCTTGCCATGAATCCCCAGCGCTTGGAGGACTCTATCCATTCTTGTAGCTCACCAAGAAAAAGCGGTCCCTGGCTTCCCTTGGGCCCTGTTCCAAAGCTTGAACTTTCTCATTGGCATCTAACCTAATCATGTGCCAACTAGGTCAATTTGCTACATTATATGTTCAAATCGAGGGAGAGGGAGAGCAGTGGCCATCCCTATGACACAAAGTTCACTCCAAGGTCCCACTTCAGCCATCTCTTCCTTGATGCTAATTATCTCTGTTTCTGTTCTCAGATTTTGACTAAAACTGTGTCACTCCCTGGCTTTGGACATTGCCATTAAGTCACCTGCCTCATCTCTCTAAGGGCCCAGGGCTGTATACTCTATATGTAGCCAAGTCTTTGACCCCAGCCTCCATCCATTCCAGACAACCTGGTTCTCCTCCCCAGCTCCTGTCTCAACAAGGACTGTCTCAGGGACTGGGACAGGGCTTGGGCTTCCAGTCAGCGGGTGGTAGATTCTAACACTGGGGCCATAGCATTACCCAAAGGGGCAGTTTGCATAATCTTTTCTCAGTCTGTTTCTGGTAGGTCATGTTTTGCTACATGTTCCCTTGAGACACTTGACATTAATGCCCCTCATCCAATACACACACACACATACACACACACAAAAAAAATAGCATGAGAGAAAATAGTCTAGACTTTGTCCTCAAAGAGACCTTTCTTTGCATCCTGCTTCTATACTTTCTAATTGAATGTCCTTGGGCAAGTCACTTAACCTCTCTCAGCTTCTGTTTTCCCCATATACAGTGAGTATCATAATCTCTGCCTGCTCCTAAGGTTTGGAAAGTATGGAATAAGGTCAGGAATATAAGATTACATGGAAAGCCAAGTTATGTTTTAATATACCAGAAATGGAATGAGGCTTAAATTATAAACAGCCAACAACATTAGCAAAAAAGCTTAAGAGGCTTTTATTTCTAAATCCGAATTCTGTGCCTGGATTTTGGGTCAAGGGAGGAATGACTTAGTTTGCTATGTGTTCCCTTGAGACACTTGACATTAATGCCCCTCACCCAGTGCTTGCGTGCACACACACACATCCCCCTTCCCAGATACCTACAGCACAGCACAGCCTCCTGGACTCCCATGGCCCCCAGCCGCCTGGGCCCTTGTTGGCCGCCTCTCCATTCGCTGGGGGCCGCCTCATGGCTCCAGTCTTGGCCCCACAGCAGCTCCAGGTCTCCTTACATGGGCTCCTGTGAACAGCTTCTCTCTCCTTGCCCATCCTTCTGAGCCATGGCCCTGGAAAACCTGTGACTCAAGGCAAAGCTGTCAGGGGCCTTCAAGATCCTTCAGGACTGAGGCCCCAAACAGCTTAAAGTTGAAATCTCCTCCCTCTGGCTCCCTCCCCTCTGCCTGCCTGGCTTCCCAGTGCTGTGCTGCTTAATTCTTAATGGAAATTCCATCTGCGATGCGGGCCCTAGCTGGCTCAAGAAGTCCAGGCGTGGGCCAACAGCAAATTCCACCCAGAGAGAAGGGGCCTGTCTGGCCATCTAGACACATGAACACAAATGTACCCACACACACAGACAGAGAGACATTCACAAATTCAGAGAGTCTCACCCAGACACAGCCATACACTGAAAGATAATACACATTCCAAGGAATAGCATTGTTGCATGGTACTGAGTACTTCAAAAGTTTCAACTCCTCTAATCCTCCCAAAAGCACTAGATTCTGGTATCATCACCATTTTACACACCAGGAAACTGGGACATGGGGAGCTTAAGTAACATGCACGGGCATCTGGTAATCACAGCCTAACACCTGAGCACTAGGAGCTCTATGAGAATCATACACCGACTGTTTCACTTTGCCTCCATAGTAACTTTTTGTAGATGTCATTTATTCCCATTGTACAGACAAGGAAAATGGAGACTGTGGCTTAAATCGCCTGTCTGGCCTCATGGATGGTACGATGAAGAAGTTTTCACACAGATATTCATGGGAACCCTCCTAGATGCACAGGGAGACACACAGGTAAGAAGACACATGCTTACACCCAAAAGGTATAGTCACAACAGCTTATTCTATCTAAACCAGGGTAGGAACCTCAGGAATGATCCAGAGCCATATCAGGCAAAGATTTCTGTTTTAGTCAGCTTTTTTGTTGCTGATACTAAAAGATCTGACCAGAACAATTTTAAAGGAGGAAAAGTTTATTTAGGGGCTCAGCATTTCAGAGGTCTTGATCCATAGACAGCAGGCCTCACTCCTCTGGGCTCAAGGTGAGGCAGGACTTCATGGTGGAAGAGTGTGGCAAAGGGAAGAGGCTCATGTGATGGGGAAGGAGGAGGGGAGGGGGGAGGGAGGAGGGGAGGGGAGAGGGAGAGAGAAGAGGAGGGAGAGGGGGAGGGGAGGGCTCCCCACTTATCAGATACAAATATATACTCCAAAGCCACACCTCCCAGCCACACCCACCTGCCTCCAGTTACCTATTAATCCCATCAGGGATTAATTCACTGATTAGGTGAAGGCTATAACCCTACCATTTCTCCTCCAAACCTTCTTGCATTGTCTCATATGAACTTTGGGGGAACATCTCACATCTAAACCATAACAGTCCCCTTCAGACTTGTCCTTCTCCATATCCTTCTCCCCTCCCAGGTGGCTTACCTTCAATTTACTGATCTTACACGTCACTTCAGCAAAGGCAAGCTCACGCTGAAGGGAAGAAAAGACTTCAGATTTCCACTGCACTCCTCCGGGTCCAGAGTCACTCCCCAGCACACCCTACGTGGTGACTGAGAAAAGGCTCAGCTACCTGCTTCTGAACAGATCACAAACCACACATAGGGAGCAACTCAGAGACTCTGAGCACTGCCCAGAGGCTGACCAAGGAGGCCTCCCAACCCCCACTACTTGGGCCCTACCCTCTAGACCTAAATGAGGCTGGACAGGGTATGGGACAAGGCATTGCACAGGAGTCCAAGCTTCAGAGAGAGCAGATCATACTCCACAGATCTGGTGAGCCCCTGGTGGATGGGAGAATGGGAACTTGACTTACAACATAGGGCTATAACATAGGACAAGCAATGAAGTCCTGAGCTTGGGGAATTGTGTGAGAACAGATGTGCAGGAGAGATCCCATCCAGAACTCACACACTGCTTGCAGTTTCCATGTTATATTGGGTGTCTCCAGGCAGGGGCAGGAGATGAGCTGGCCCTGGCTTCCTCCCAAGCATTCCCAAATGCTTAGGACACCTCAGGATGGCAGCCTGTGAGGCACCAGCATTGGAAAGGGTTTTTGAGGGAGGAGTGCTCAACTCCCATAAATGAACCAGGAATGACAGTGGTTCGGGAAATGGCTCTAAGAAGGGAAAATGTTCTGAGCCTGAGAATTTACACTTCTAAGTTCCAGGTGATGCTACTGATCTGGAGATCATATTTTGAGAACTACTGCCTTCAAGAATAAGAGAAAGTTAAATATTACTCCAGTTTAAAACTAAATTTCTGACCAAACTTCAGAGTATAAATGCAAGCTCCCTAAAGAAAGAATCCACAATCCTGTCAGCAGTCTGTCCTTTCCCTTGCCCAACCCCCATCTCCCCAGCTTCTGCACCACCCCTGCTGTCTGCTAGTGGGTCATTCATGGGCTCTGTAGCAGCTCTGTCTGCTTCAGCACACCTCAAGAGAGAAATAGCATCCTCCACTCTGACCTCCTCCTGCACAGAGAAGGTTATCAAGATCAGGAACCAGAACAAAAATTGCTGAGGACCAGGCAGGCTCATAGTTCTGGGATGGAGATAACAGATCAGAAGGTCATAATGATAGCAGCTGAAACACTAGCCCCACCCAGAGAGATGAGAGATGGGCAAGGATCCTAGTTCCTAGAGCGTTAACCTCATGCCCTGCATGCCTCCTGTGTCCCTGAGACAGGCACATTGAGATGCTCCCTGCTCCCAGTGTGATGGAGGGACAAAGCACCAAGGAGGACAGGGAGAAGTGAATCTGGCCACAGAGTCCCAGACAGGCTGATACAGATACACCACTGACTCACTCAGGCGTTGGCCTATTGAGCTCTTGCATTTTGTTCTAAAATTCTCTCAAGAGGCAAAATGTTCCCCAACTCCCAGAGCCAGTACAGGAACCTGCACTGTAATATAACTGGAATGGAGAAGTTCAAAAGACCCTCAGAGATCTCTGGGTGCAGAAATTCTGACATTTTATTATGAGTCAGAATCACCTGTGTTTTAGTCAGTTTTTTCACTGCTGTGACTAACAGACCTTCCAGAACAACTGTATAGGAAAAGCGTATTTGAGGGCTCACAGTTTCAAAGGTCTCAATCCATAGAGAGCTGGATCCAGTCCTCATGTCTCCAGGTAAGGCAGGAACAACATGGCAGAAGAATGTGGCAGAGGGAAGCCGCTCACATGATGATCCGGAAGCAGAGAGAGAGAGAAAGAGAGACTCCACTCTCTGGATACAAAATATATACCCCATAGCCACGCCCCCAATGAACCACTTTCTCCAGCCACACTCCACCTGCCTCCAGTTACTACTCAGTTAATCCCTTCAAGGATCAATTTGATGATTAGGTTAAGGTTAAAGCCCAGTCATTTCTTCTCCAAACCTTCTTGCATTATCTCACATGTAAGCTTTTGGGGGACACCTCACATCCAAACCATAACACCTAGGGGGATACAGAGTCCCAGGCCTGAACTCAGAGATTCCAAGTCAGCCAGTGGGTGGTGCACCACTCTCCCCAACTTGAGGTTTAGTCACTTTATGTTGTTACCTTGAACTTGGTCCTGGTGGGAGTATTTGTTTATACCAGGGAAACTGGGCAAATACTACAAATCAGGTTTTTGCTTTGTAATGTTCTGATTGCAAAGCCTATTGTTAACCACTTATTAGCCCTAGGAGACATGTGGGTCCCTATTTTCCAGCATACTAAGCTATTCTGAGGCAGGCCTTCTTTGAGAAACAATGATCTAGTGATGAAGTTCCAACCCAAACCCTTCACTTTACTGATGTGAAAGATAGGAAAACTGAGGCTCAGAGAGAGGAAGAATCTTGGTTAATATCAATATACTAAGCCATTTGTGGGATCAAAGTTGTTCAGCTCAGAGAAGCGAGGGCTAAGAGCGCTCTGTTTACTTGAACTTCTTCTGCACCCACTCTATCACCAGTCACATGATCTGTCATCAGCATTTAGAATCTGTGTACCCAGGAGAGCAATATGTAAATTTCAGCAGATATGTAAATTTCAGCTATTGAGGGCCCCAGGGCTGCCCTCCCCTCCCCAAGACTTAATTGTTCAACTCTTCAACACTTCCTTAAATTCAGAGAAATTCCCTAACATCCTCTCCACAAATTCCCTGTCTTACTTAAAGTAACAAGCTATTTTACAATCAAAACCATCTTCAGAACTACAGCCATGGAGCAAGTTAGTGAGAATAACAACCCAAGTTTCCTGCCTCCTCCCTATGTTATTCCCTGACCTCAGACAGAATGTGTAAGAAGAGTGATTGCTCAAACATACAGTTCTCTAGAGTGGTGGGAACCCTGTAGGAACAGGCATATTCCAAGGCTTCACCCCAGAACTATGGAATTAGAAACTTTGAAGCTATAGTCCAGCAAGATGTGTTTAACTAAGCCTTCCAGATGATTCTGATACCCACCCAACTTTGAGGACCACTGCTCTAGCAGGAGGAACATAGCTTCTGCCTACCTAACAATCAGAGTCTGTTCAGGTCAGGGAGGAAAGGCCATCAGAGTCCAGGCTAACACAGACTGGTGACCAGCCATTCTCCTTCCTGTCCAGCCTTTTTAACCTCAGGCCCCTGGGAAATCCCAGGAGACCAACCAATGATCCTGCATCCTGAGCTAAGACAGAATCCTCCTTCCCAAAGCCTCTGGGTGATACTTTTCCAAAAACAGCAGGACAACCCCAGCAGAGACATGGCCGGGAAATGTGACTTGTCAGGATCTTAGAGCTTAATTAATGGCGGGGAGACTCGGTGGATCTTCCCTGGCCCTGTGGATCCTCAGAGCCTTCTGGAAGCCATGGAGGCCAGTGCTTCCTCTGCTTCCCATGCTTTCCAGGTTCAGGAAGAAGGATGAGATTTGAGGGTAATTGAAGAAGTGAGGCCTTGGGGAGAGGTCCAAAATGAGAACCGCTATACTAACATGCATTGACTGTGTTACTCAGTCGTGATCAACCAGAACAACTTAAAAGAGGAAAAGCTTATTTTGGCTCATGGTTTCAAAATTCAGTCCATGGTCAGCCAACCTGAATGCTCTGGACCCAAGCT